AGCTTCCCTTACCCACGCCGCTGCACGACGCCCCCTTGCCTCGTCATCGACGTCACCGGCGACCCCTTCAGACCGTAGTCACGTCGAGATCCCCGCGACGTCGAACCCGTCGCCGATGTTGCCGTCCAGCTCCACAAGTCAACCGTCGATCCGCCATGCGCGTCGTCAAACAACGAACAGCAAGAAATGGCGTCGCCACCTCATCCGCAGGCCTCTTGGCCTTGTAGGCAAGATCCTCTTGCTCAGAGCTGAATTTTATATTTTGTTAAGATTTATCTACATATTAGTTTGTGATATGATTATCTGCGTGGAATTATTGATGAATAATATTAGATAAATAATAATAATATGATAAATAGCATTTTTAGAATAATTATGATAAATTAAAAGAATTTATTTTGACAGCAGAATCATTTTTAGATGATTATATTAATTTTAAAAGAATTTATCTTGAAAAAGAAATTATTTTAGAAAAAGGGATTATTTTGGAAAATAAATTAAAGGAACCTATTTTGCAAAAGGATTATTTCAAGTAAATAAATTTGTTATTTTAGAAGATTATTTTAGAATAATGGATTATTTCAAGTAAATAAATTTGTTATTTTAGAAGATTATTTTAGAATAATTTAATGATTCAAATTCTTAGATTTAATTACCTGATATGTCATGATATTATTGCACATGATTTAATTATGTCTTGTTGCGATGGAGGACCGTTGATAGTTATGACTTAATGGCATCGTGCGTTATGAATAGACTTAGTGACATGTGTGAGTGTGTTGACTGAGTTTAGGTGGTGAATCCGAGTTTCAATGAGGATTATGGTTGACTTAGAAAACACAAGAGAGTTGGGATGGGGAAGTCATGGTTCATGTGATCGGATAAGACTGTTGATGTATCTTCCAGACTAGAACCAGTGAACCGTTTCGCACTGGGGTTAGTTTGTTGGGCCAAGTGAATCGTTTCGTACCTGGTCAGTGAAATCGTTTCGTCACCCAAGTTTTGCTTGAGTTTGGACCAGGCCAAAATCGGATTGCGTGTAGTCCTTTCACCGAACCATTTCACGGGTTTGGATGCACGTAGGGGATTTGTGAACAGTCAATTATCCAATGATATGAGCGTTGGCTCTGTGTGAGATATGATATGAGCGTTGGCTCTGTGTGAGATATGACCAGTGACCTGTTATAGAATGGCTAGTTACAAGACCTTGTTTCTTGGGTAGGTATGATTTCTTGTGAGATGTAGGTCAGTTGTGTTTCTTTTCATACATAAATTAGGGTTAATATTTAATTATCTACAATTTGAGACATATGGTATATACATGAGGGTTTCCTTGTTTGGATTATTTCGCTCGACGTACTACGTCTCTTGTTGTAGATTTTTAAGTATTAATTCCATCTAGTTGTATGACATGGTTACTTGGATGATTAGTCTGATCGCTAGCTGTATGATCTCGTTACCTGATCGATTTTGGATGCTTTATGTCTATCATGTTTTAGTAGCGAATTTGCATGTTGATTTTCTTGGATTTCAGTTGTTCGTTCTTTTGTCATTTCTGTTATCGTATTGTTTTCTGCTTGGGTTTTCGTTCGCTCTATTTGTTTTTGTGGGGTCTTGCCGTGTGCCATACACGCTGACGTACACCTATTTTCTCTGGTGTACGTCAGACTTAGAGGAAGAACAGGTTCAGCTGGGAAATCAGCAGGATCCAGAGGATTCTCAGCAGGAGTGTCTTGTAGACGGAGCAGAAGAAGGAGTTGAAGCCTATTCTTTGAAGGTTCCAGTTACTATGTATGCTTGATCGATGTATTTTGTATTTTTTCAGTATTCATTTGTTCATTTTGTATAAGGGCATGTTTGACCCGTATTTTATGTCTTGGATGATATTTTTTTATGATATGTATTATTTTGTTCTGAGTCTGTCTATTATATTCTCGCTATTGTGATCGGGGACCTGTACCTTTGCATTGTATTTACTTCCAGACGCTTAGCGTATTAGGTTAAGGAGAAATGATTATTTTATTTATTCTTCTTAATCTAATACGTCGCGGGCTTGTTCACGTTTCGGTTCTCCTGTATTTTGGGAAGCGGGGCGTGACAAATTCTAAAAGTATTTTTAGAATATTCGTTGTTAAGGGTAAGGGTTGGTTGTGAAGGTTACGCTTTGGTTGTGAAGGTTACAGGTTGATTGTTAAGGTTACGAGTTGGTTGTTAAGATTACGCGTTTATTGTTAAGGATAAGCGTTGGTTGTGAATGTTACACATTTGTTGTGAAGGTTATGTGTTGGTTGTTAAGCTTATGGGTTTGTTGTTAAGGATAAGCGTTAGTTGTGAATGTTACGCTTTGGTTGTGAAGGTTATGCTTTGGTTGTGAAATTTTTGAATTCCAAAAATATTTTTATAATATTCGTTTTTTATTTTTTTAGTTCTTCAATTGCCTATTATTGTTGTTTATGAGAATTCACCTATTACGCGTTAGTTGTTAAGGTTACGGGCCTGTAACTTAATAGTCAACCTGTACCCTTAACAACCAACTCATAACCTTCACAACCAAACTGTAACCTTAATAACCAAACTATAACATTAACAACCAAACCGTAACCTTAACAACTAACCTGTAACCTTAATAATCAACGCGTAACATTAATAATCGTAACCTTAACATATCGAGCGCCTTCATCCCGGACACGGTGTCAATCATCCCAACGCTCCTCAGCCTCTTAACCCCAGTGCCGCCAAAAGTCCCATCATGCCCACAAGAGCTCACCACGACCTTGGCCTCCATCACGTTTGGATCCATGCATGACACCAACGCCCAGTTCGTCACGACCCCTCCCTCCCGACCCTCTGTTCTTAATTATCAAATCCTCCGCCGCCACCATGTTGAACAGCTTCACGTTGGGCCGTATCAGCAGCTTGCTCATGATGGTGGAGGTGAAGAGGGTGGCGTGCTAGTTGACGATGTAATACTCCTGCTCGTCGTAGAGGACCTCGAGCTCATCGAGGAAGAGGTGGGTGAGCTAGTGGACGACCATAGCGGAAAAGACCTGGCCGTCGAG